CCTTTCTGATACTTTACTCACTAGTCTTTGAACTGCCCACATTTACCTCATGTACTTTTCCTAGTGAATCTTTGGGTTTTTTGTTTGTTTATTTCACCTAGAATATCTTTCTCTAGTTTTATCCCCTGCTGTAGTTCTTGCGTTTTGAAATCTAACGCATGCCTCATATGAGTATGTGAACCATTTAACCAGTTTCCCCCATATTTGCTATGGCCAAATTTCTTTTGATAGAAGTCATAAATATCTATACCATATTCTCAAGTTTATATAAAAATGGAAAATATTGGGAAATATTCACTTAATGTGTTCAACTCCCCAAACACAGTGATTTCTGAACAGTTGGCAATTTTAGCCTATTAACTTCTCGCTTGGTAAACCGTGCATTCGACCTGATCTCAAATGACTCCACCTCCCGTGCCTTTTAGAGTGCACACCCATCCTGGCTTTCTCTAAGTTGAAGAGTAGGGGGTAGAAATTGGTCAGAAGAGGAGAGGTGTGGAAGTCACAAAGAAAAAAAGGAAAGGTGAGAAGATACCAGAAGAGAATGAATTTGTCATATTTCCTCAACCAAAAATGGAGATTAAGGAATACGACTGGAAGACTTTAGTTCTTACAAGAGAATTTGTATTCCAGGCATTATTTAAAATATAAATTGAACCCAAGGGTGATTTTAACATTTTGTTCCTGGCCACTAAGCTTGGAAGCCAGCACTTAGCAGTTTAAAATAATTAGAAAATCAAATGCCTTTATTAGAAATGAAGATTTCTTGGCCCATGACTTGCTGCACTGAGTATATTAGCATTTATTATGGACTCAGCTCCATACTCTCTTCTAATGTGTTCTGCTTAAGAATTCTTAGAGATATCTATACAAATAAAATTTACTTAAAAAGATAAAGATTAACTTGTAAATTCTGAACTGTAAGAACAAAAAGCTCAAAGTCTTAAATTAAGTGGCTAGCTGCTTATCCATTGCCAATGTTTAACTACAATATTCAGGAGATATCTCAGTGTGTTAAGTTTTGAAGGCCTATGTAGTCTTTAAGTTGATCATTAAAAACAACAGAATTTAAGTGAATGTCAATAAACCAGTGAATTATAAATATTCTCTCTTCCAGCATATTTGATCAGAGTTATCAATAAACAAAATTGTATTTCCTAGGATTTCAGGCATGAATGCTAATCTATGAACATAATGTTCTACCAGAGGATCCTAGGAGAATATGAACAATTTGGACATCTATTGAGTTACTTGTAATAGAAAACTGGACACGTGTGCATTTCAGGAAATAAAATGACATTCCTAATGTATCTGCATTAAAATACTGCTTATATATCTAAGACTAGTATGATTCCCCATACTTTGACTCCACGTTAGCTGATATTTCCAGTGGTAAAATTGATCCTTGCCACAAAATACATGTCTCTACTCCCTTTCCCCAAAACCCAACACTACTGAACTAAACAAAGTGGCAGAGTTTCACCCAAAACTGTGCAGTTGACATCCTGTCTTCAGTGGGATGATGAAGACCAAGACTACAGGCAAAAGCAGAAGTTCTTACAGCAAGATGAGCTCTCTTTAGGCTTTGTCTCTTCGCCTCCCCCCACCAACAAGGCACACACCAAACTCTGTGGGAAAGTAGCCCTAAGCAGGTCCAGAAGTGTCAGATCTGTCACTATATCCAAGGACATCTAGCTTTCTCTCTGATGCACTATGACACATTTGGCCTCTACCTGCCGGAAGGAAAAGCCCCCAGCTCCCACAGATCACTTCCCAGGAATCCTTACAAGTGCTACCAGATTGATCATCTGCCTTCACATAATTTTACATGGTTTGTAATTTACTGAAAGCACTCATGTTATGAGGGAAAACTATATATGATCTTCAAATCTAGTATTTTGAAATATTGGGGCTAATTTTAAAGTATCTTGCAGGTTTAGGCATTCTGTTGAGGGGGTTGGTTAACACTGACCCACCAGCTGTGGTGTTCATCTAAATGGGTGAAGGTGTGAGGGTGGACTTTATGTTAATGATTTCAGGCCTGAAAGGAGAGAGAGCCTGTGGATTCTCCAAAGCAAGAGTGTCGAAGGAGGATATCGGCTACTAAAAGCCTGCAGGGAAACAAACAGTCAAACAAAGAAACACCAAGAGCAGCAAAAAAACAAAACTCAAGTCCCACCTCATTTCTGGTTTCCAGTGGCTTCCAGAAGGGACAGGGTAAAATCCTGTTTTCAGGGAACAATGTTCTAAAACCAGGCCCACAGAACTCACCCAACCTTGTCACTCCAGACAGCTGCATGTATTTGGGGAAGTAAGTCTGTATCATTGTGCACCTTTTAAAACTGCAGTTGAGTACTAAATAATGGAGTAGCTTTGTTTGTAAGCAATATTTATTTTTCATGAAGATAAGAGGCAAATTACATTTGTTACAGAAAACCCTATGAGAGGAAAAAGCTGCATGTTACTAATATGACCAAAAAAAAAAAAAAAAAACAAGAAAAAATTCTACTTATGAAAGTGCTCTGCCCTATAACATATTGAACAGAAGGCATTATTCCAGGTGAGTGAGCCATGCAGAAATGAGGATTTATTAGGATTTGTTTTGAAATGTAATTTGTACGGTGAGCTTTTTATTCCTTTGATGGCAATGAAACAGATTTATTGGCTACATGTTGGAAGTGCAATAGATAACAGATAACCAAGGGAGAAGTTTTAATAAAACACTCAGGAAAGAAAAAAAAAAGGAGTGAGTGAGAATACATGCTTACATGGCAGCTAATAAATAAAAAGTTGAGATAGGGCTTTAACTGAAAACCATCCTGGTTATTGCAGCCTGGAAGGTATATTGAAAATTGGGTAGAACACTCTAATTTTTCATACTTAACAGTTGAACAAGTTAGAGTGATATAACTCAAATTTTGGTTTTGGTCCAAGAATCCTATGTTTTCACAGGAAGCTTTCAAGAGGCTTGTAGGGGAAGAGCGGTTTCTGATTATTAGAGGGTCTGGCTGTGTTCTTTCTGGCTGTGCTCTGGATTTTGGACAACTTAACAATAGAGCATCTCTTTTTACCAGTCATCCTTTGAGGTAAAAACACGGGACACTTTCAGGGAAGTTTTGAAGGAATATCTTCAATAAGCATTGAAATATCTTCAATAAGCATCTTTCAAAGAGATGAACAGAAATGAGCTCCTAAAGATACTTGAGAACTTGGTCCTGAAAGCATCATGCTCAGAAATCCAAATATATATATAGGCTGTTCATCTGACACTGGGACTTAATGAGCCCCAGTCACACATCCCTCATTTGACTTGGCTGTGTTTAGTAGGGCCCTGGACTCAGGGAAGAAACCAGCTCTCCTTTTTTATTTCAAGGTGAGAAGAAAAATGTCCTTTTCTCTGAGTGGCTCCAGAGCTATCTTGATTTTAGTATTGCTCTCTTAGAGTCTTGCTTTGGAGAATGATGAGTTACTTCCTAAGCTTGCAGGCAGTCCCTGAGGCCTTAACAGGCATTAAGGAGCCAAGGCAGAAAAACTACTCTAAGCACCAATAATAACTACCAACGCAAAAACCATTTCCCAGGGTAGAGCAGGGCCAAACGTGTGCTCTCACAATTTGCAATGAGGCTTCTTAGAACAAGTGCCATAGATTTGGAAGAACCAGAGACCCCAGGTCTCCTTTCACTTAGTTCAGAAACAGGAATTCAACTGCATTGAACAGTGAGTACACAGTTAGGAATTTACATCAATGAAATTGGGTTGTTTTAATGCACAAAAGCTTCTGGGCTATAAGTAATCCACGATGGCTTGCCAAATATAAAATGCCATTGTATATATATATATATACATTGTCTCATTTAACAATGACTCATAAACAGATATATATATATATAATATATATATGAAAGAGATAGGAAGAGATATGGAGGAGATAGGAACACAAAAGCAAGATACATAAAATTAATTGGCATAATTCAGAGAGTATGAGTCATGATTAAATATGGATTCCAATCAAATATTCCATCCCACTCCCAGTTATGGTAATATTTCAGTGCTCACATTTTTTTTACTTTCAACTGCTCAAACTTTCCAGTGAGCATTATTTTGAAAGGCTCATACAGAGTCCCCATGACATTCTCCAAAGGAGTTACTTTTGTGGAGAGGTTTTGAGAAGAAACAATTCAAAATTCTGCTTCAGCTTATATATTATCTCTCATAGGATAATATTAATAAACCTTGTGAGAATTTTTTGAAGACAGGTGTTAATGAGTTTGCATGCCTTGGCAAGATACACTAAGAGAAGACTTAAGGGCTTTATTTCTAAAGCACCTATATTATGATGACATGCTTTTGGAGACAGGTAACTATTGTCTATAGCTAAGTATGTAGTACATCTCATGAGAAAAACGGCTAGGAATGTATCTTTTCCCAGAAACCATATTTCCCTCTTTTTATAATTAAGATGTATGCACAAGAAATGCTCATTTATTTTATTTTTAATATAAAAGGTGCTTTCTTTAAAAGAGCAAGATCCAAAATTGTTTTGTGATTCAAAACTTAAAAATAAACAAATTAATCTTCCAAATCTTCCAAAGACATGTTTAATGTATTTACTATGTCCCTTATTTTGTCAGATTTTAAGAGTCTAAATAATTAAACCATATGTAAGCACTGGTGTACCTGGTTATATATACTGAGTAAACCATTTGGTCTATTTACACAGAGACATGGAGATGATATATATATATATATATATATATATATATATATCTCCTCAGACACTATTATTAAATGCAATCCTATATTCTTGGATATAGAGGTTGATGATGCACCTTTCTACTTGTCATGGTACTAACAAAGCTAGGTTGAAAGTCAGCAACCACTTGTATTCATTGTTTGCAGGCTAATAGTAAGTTCGGTTGCTGGTGGGAAAGGGGTCTCTTACCACACCCTTCTCAAAATAAAGGTTCTTTCGTGTTTAATGAAAGTACATGCACATTCTCTTATCGAGGTGGTCTTGAGCTGCAGATACAGTCGCACCGCTCATGGTGATCCAACTGGATGTCAACGAGAGCCATGTGCTTCGCTCTGCCCCTCCTCTTGAAATGGCCAGGTTCAAACTTTAACACCTAGGACAAGAAGCATTTTCTGTTAGAAAGTACCTGAGATTTAACTCAATTACATACCACTTATTCTCTTTATGACAACTGGTTCTTAAGCCTTTGAGGATCCAATGAAATCTACAGGCTCACTATTAGAATGCACACGTACAAATATTGTTATAGACAATCACCGACTCTTTAAAGTAATGGAATCCACTGATCACAGAGCAATGCCTCCTGCATTACCTACCTGCAGGGTCATGAGGACTGCAGGTGTCTGAGCAGGTGTTTACTGATCACTTTCTGAGGGCCTGCTTTGTGCCAAGTGCTGTCGCAAATATTATTAATATCACAAAGAGTCTTCTGACTAAAGCATGTGTTATGGATAAATACAGTACTGAGAATATCATTATCTCTGTGGACAGGACAACAGATACAGTTATGACCTAATACGCTGGTATGGGGACTTCTTGGGAGAGTGGTTAAGAATCCGCCCGCCAGTGGTCTGGGCAGACCCCACGTTCCCTGCCCGCGCCTGGAGGCAGTGCTTTGTACACAAGAGGCCCTTGCATCATGGAAGAGCAGCCCCTGCTCACAGCTAGAGAAAGCCCGTGTGCAGCAACAAAGACCTGGGGCGTCATCCCCCGCCCCACAAAAGTGCTGGCGTGGCTAAATGCGCCAGTGAGGTAAGACATTTTGCCTCCTTAGTGGTCATAAATAACTGAAAATGTGTGTATGTTCTTACACACAATGTGTTCTTACATATTTTATCTTACATATCGAATAATACCCTTTACAATTCAAAAGAGATCATGTTTTCTAAAATGTTTGCATATTAATACCTTTGAAACAATCCAACATTTCTTGAATAAATAACATCCTTAAATTTTCACATTGATAGGTGTAAATGTGATATAAAAAATTTTTAAGTTTAAATAGAAGCTAACACTTCTTCCCTAGTGTGGCCTTCACTGAAGTCAACATTTGCCATCATATACATAAATACTTGTTTTCCATATACAGTCAATTTAATTGCTTCTTTATGTATATTCTTAGGCTCCTGTTAGCTTTCAATTTTGATTCTTTTTTTTTTTAATTTTTTTCCATTTATTTTTATTAGTAGGAGGCTAATTACTTTACAACATTGCAGTGGTTTTTGTCATACATTGAAATGAATTAGCCATGGATTTACTCATTTTTGATTCTGTTCTATTTTCCCTTTTAGACTTTAAACTCTGCATGATACTACCATACAACTACGTAGCATTTTGTAGTTTTAAAAAAATTTGCACATATGCACTGTTTTGTCTGCCCCAGGACAAACCTTGCATACAGTAGAGAAGGCGTCTTTACCCCCAGTAAAGGCTAGAGAACTGAGATTATCAGGGAGGCCAGGTGCCAGGGTCTTCTGTCAACTCAGGTCTGAACAACAGCGCGTTGCTCTCTGGACTCCCAGCACACTAGGACCCAAGGACCAGTGCCTCTCTAATGTGGCTGCAGTTTCCTTCTGTATCTCAAAGGTGTCTCAGGCACACGTGTGAACAGAAATGGGGCCCTGATGCTTGGTATACTTTGCTCCGAGATGAAGATTACATGAGAGGAAATCTTGTTTTCTAGGCTGTGTAAGTTTTCATGGCATGCCTCCAATTTTTCTACTGTGGATTATCTTCCTAGCAATGTCCTCATCCTCACATTACCTGTTTCAAGTTATTAGCAAATCAAAACCATCTACTAGGAAAACAGGCCTAGAGCCCTCAGTCCCTATGCATCCACTTTACTTTAGCGTTTGCCTTTTTAAAGCATCAAGGGGGTGATAATTTATGTATTTGGCTGTATTGCACCTTAGTTGTGGCATGCAAGATCTTCACTGGGCCCTGCAGGAGCTTGCACTGGGGCGCACAGACGCTCTAGGCATGGCACATGGCCTCCGGAGTGCACAGACTGAGCGGTGGTGGCATGCGGGCTTAACTGCTCCACAGCATGTGGGAACTTAGTTCTCTGACCAGGGACTGAACCTGTGTCCCCTGTATTGCAAGACATATTCTTAAGCACTGGACCACCAGGTAAGTCCCAACATTTAGCCTGTTTTTCTATAAGAGTTCTGTGGAGCAGGTCATTCGTTCAATGTTCAGTAAAGTAAGGAGCCTGGGCTCTGATAACACAGAGTGAAATACCTAGTCCCGCTTAGAGAAGAGCTTCAAAAGGATATTTGTACTTTTGTGAGTACAAACTGGGGTTGGGGGATGGGGTGGGAAGGAATGGCCTAGAAGAGTTCATGAGGGAGGCACAAAAATACTGGCTTATGGTAAAGCTAGTCCCAGTGCCAGTTTTGATAGCTAATTATATTATCCTTTTAACCTAAATTCCTCTGAACTTACCCTATGCATCACATAGTTTCATATGACATACATTTTCTATTAACAAATGCTTTGAGGGCAAGGATAGCATAAATAATTACTAACATTATTGAGTATTTGTTAGATGCCACACACTGTTATGACTGGAAGTATTAAATGTTTTGAGTATCACTGTAACACTATGATTTAGGTACTTTTTTAATACTGTTTCAGATAGGGAAGAGAGAGACTAAGGTTGCAGAGTCGGTGACTGGCGTCACCAGTGTTTGTCTCCATGTGGCACAGCGCGGGCCCTTACTGGGAAGGTGGACTTTTGTCTGTTCTGGTCAGCAGCGTGTTGGGAACACAGTGGGTTTCCAGTGGGATGCACCCCGAAGGCCGTGGTGGGTAACGCTGCCAGTTCACAGTATGGGAACCTATGTTCACAGCCTCTCTTTCCTGTCTCCCCCTACCTCACTTCTACCCCAACCTCCAACAAGGGGAGGGGCACAAGACAAACCAAGCCAGAGGCCACAGTGAAGTGGCCTATGCTTTGCATCACTTGCAAGTCTTTTACGATTTTGAAACAGAATTTCTGTACTGAGCAGAGTGACAATGATATTTTCCTTTCCCTGCTCCCATGTTCACTCCTGCTTCATCTCTAAAGAAAATAAAAACTGTTGCTTCTCCATGAAAAACTAAGTAACCAAAGCATGGATGAAGTGTTTATTGCATTGTGGGGTATTAAATACCCTGCTAGGATTGATAGGAAAGCCTTCCTGTGCCACAATTGGTCAGAGTGACCTGGAAGAGCTTAAAGCTTGGGTTCCTGCAACTTAGCCAAGAATTTCTCTAATATTAGTCACTATTTTCCAACCCTAATAAACCAGATCTGGAGGTTGAACTATTCAGGGGAATAAAATGATTCCTAAGAAGCTGAGCAGATGATAAATATTCTCTTTTTTAAAAAGACCATTATCAAAGCCTAATAAGTTGCCATGACTGACATCTATAAAATCAGTGCTCCGTTGATTTGCTTCCTCATTTGATGAGAAATGAAAGTGTGTGCTTTGGAGTGAGAGCCAAGCCTGGCCAGTTTTTTCTAACTGGTCTCCTGATTGTTCAGGGATTTTCCCTGTGTTTTATATTAAGCCCCGTTAGCCCAGTATATATGTGTTTTGCTGATAAAAGGAGAAAAATGAATTGGCAGACACTTTTCCAGACAAGACAGGAAAGCACTGTTTGAACAAAGTGGAAATTGGACTGCTTTACTGGCTGATCACAGTGCTGATGTTCAAAGCTTTCAGACCATGTAATAGTCTTAGGTTCAGGTACACGGCATTGAAAGGAAGAAAGCAAAGCTGATTTGAGAGAGCATGAAAAGTTAAAAGAAAAATGAAAAGCCTTTATCTGAAAAAGCAAACTGTCTCTGGGTTATCTGGTCACCTTTAAAGGGAAGGAACCATTGAATTAATTACAGTCCCCGTAGGACACTCACTAATAGGTACCTTCACAAAGTGCTTTCCTATTTTCTGCTCTATTATTCACTGCTGCAAGCACACACACTGAAATAAAAATCCATGGAGGAGCAGCCAGCCATTTCTTATCACCTATGGGTGAAAATGGCATTCTTGACCCTTCTCCACCATCTGGAAAACCACATGAAGCCAGGGAAAGTTGATTTTTATTAAATGGAGAATGACTGAAGAAGTGGGTGGCTTTCATACCACTAAACAAAATCAAAGATGCTCAGTTTGCAAATTACCATATCACAAAAAATATTTACTACAATTACTCTCTTTGTTGCCAATAAACCACTGAATGAATCACTGCCATAAAGTTATTACAGTAATAAAATAGTACTAGACAGAAAAGCTACCTGCTGAGTTGGGTTCTTGTTTATTGGAAATATTAAAGAAAGGTCGTTAAGGCCTTGTAACAGTTTTTAAATTAATGGCTGAAGTAGGAACACAAGTACATATTTTAGGACACATACACTGTATAAACCCAAATCATTAAGGGCTTACTTAAGATTCACCCAACTTCTAAAGCAGGCAGCATTCAGTATACACACTTTCTTAAGGAAAAAAGCTTCATATTTTTCCTTACTTTATGATTTCTTTCATGCTTGTAGACTTTATAAAAATGTGCATACAGTTAAGATTTTTAAGGTCTGGTAGTCAACCTTTCTGAAATCTAAAGTGACTACAAGCAAAAATATTTTGAGATGAGAAAACATATTATTTTCTACCTGGGTAACTGTCCAACTTGAAGGTAATAGTTTCAAGGGAGATTGAAAGTTGTAAGGGAAGGAGTGATACCAAGTCCTGAGATACAGTCCTCAATAAGAAAAACACAAATAACAGAGTTCAGCACATTTCTCAAGCTAGGTATGAAGGTGACTAAGGGCCGGGCTTATAGTGTGGGTCTATACAACCCTCATGAATTTTGAAAATACAATTTTGACATCTGTGGACATTTACTTATAATTGAAATTTTCTTGTGAGCACTCTGGGGTGTATTCAGCCACAGTTCTACCTTTAGAGGACTTAAATAGGAATTCCAGTTGAGCTGTTTCAAATCTTGAAAGATGATGCTGTGAAAGTGCTGCACTCAATATGCCAGCAAATTTGGAAAACTCAGCAGTGGTCACAAGACTGGAAAAGGTCAGTTTTCATTCCAATCCCAAAG